ACATTCTTTCGCTGAGAATGAGTCATCATTTCTAAACTTCAGAGCCTGGCCCTTTGACTGGTGACTTCCATTCACCCTTCACCTCCAACAGCTCTGGCACGGAAGAATGCGGAACTCTGTCGCTTCACATATATCAGGCCCTGGCGCAAGACAACACTTCACAGCGTTTGTTTTCCGTTCCAACAGAGGTACAATCTAGGGATCACGACATACAGCCTTTCTTCTCAGCCTCATCCTGAGACCGCGGGTCACTGTCCTTGCTTCCTTCCGATCCGCGCTCAAGGCACCTTGTCATAATATATCTCAAACATATATCATGTTCCGTACGAGAACTATCGCAGTTTCGTTCCCGCGCCAAAATTGCTTCTACCCCGTAGCGCATGATTCGCCAAATCTCTACCAGGAGAGAAGAGCATGGCATCTACCTTCGAACTCTAGCCTATCCATGGCACGTGATGTTTCAGCTCTGCTATCTATGATGAGATTCTAGCCCAAATCCAGGACGGAAAAGCGCTTCAAGCTGTCAGAACTCTATAAATGTATTTGCATGTTTTGCATAACCGCTAACGCTCTTACCGCCGAGCCGAGAGTTTTGCTCAGATATTCAGCAATACTAATCGTATGTTCTAAGCAGGCGAACACGTGTGTCTTAGTCGTACAAAGCACGGACATGTCGACATCTTCATTGCATCCATGTATTTTCTACTGTTTTTGATAGTCGCGGGTCGTATGAAATTGCACGGCTCGAACATTTGTCGAGAGTTTCCGCAGCTACACAAAGCCCGTGACGTTGATGTCAACAACAAACAATCCTGCGCTGCGAGCCCGACCTCTCTGCTATAGACAATTGATCATTAATCAAGACCTTGACGAGGCTCTGTGGGACGCACACCTTTCCCAGTAGGCTGCTCTGCGTCAAAGATGGCTCAGCATTTTCTTGCAAGGTGTCGTCATTCGACTTCTTGTGGAAGGCCTACAATGCGCACCTCATAGCTGAGAGCGAAGGTGAAGTGCAAGGCGCAAATGTATTGTACAACCGCGGATAATTTATCTGTGAATATCACGAAGCTGCTAATCAAATACAGAATTAACATCTTTTTACTCAGCAAAACTGATGGTCATCGCATCCAACGCGTTTGTAAAGCTGTCATATCTAAGACCCCCTGTATGGCCTTCGCGGCAATAAGTTGACTCTGCAGTGCCTCCCCGAAGAAGGTAGGATCGACGCGGAAGGGACCCGCACCATTTTGGCGACCCATCATGGAGGCGGTTGCCGTTACTACCTCTGGGAGAAGGCCTGGCGCCATTACAGTAATAAGAGGATTCAAAGTAGTCCGCTAGCTCTCGCATGCCTTGATTGGTGGACAGAAACCCCGTACGCAATAGGTTCGCCTGGTTAGGCTATCGTTTCAGTTTTCCCAAGCTGAGGTTGCCTTTATTACAGAGGTATTGCCTGTTCGTACTCGATCTGGCAACACAGCCTCCGAGCTCGTCGACCTCAAGCGCGACGCTTTATCGATGCGTTAGAGCGTTGTCAATTCACGGCTACCTAAACTTTTCAAAAGAGAAGAGAAGAGAAGA